CATAACGTACTCCGTTAACAGAGTTTGACAGAGACTAACAGAGAATGACCAAACGTGGATCGTTTTACTAATTCGAGTAACCAACATTTGAATTAAATATTTTTAGTGACTAAACATGACACTCTTTGGTAAATCCAGTGATCAAACCGTGAAATTTACCCGTTAATAAATTATTCACTTCGGAAAATGCCAATGGGACAGCAAGCTAGCTGACAGGGAGACCTCATCTGATAAGTTTTCGATTTGTTGAGATGCAAACAATACACCGCAACGACAATTATAGACAAAAGGAAGCATCCTCCAGAAAACACAATCGGTGTTATTATTTATTTTATTATTTGTCAATGGAAGAAAGAATAAGTGAATAACCCTCCTTTCTTCAGCTCAGGTATGGAGAATGACGTGAGCTGGGCGGAGGAAGAATGTTTTACCTTACCAGTTAAAGCTAAGCAGGCTTGTGTGGATCAATTTCCGATCGAAAAACCAGCAAGCTTTGCCAGCCAGATCTCCCTTCTCCCACCACCTCATCTCAAATATTCCCTCCTTTTTCCACATCTCAAAATTTTGCCTCCATCGACACGGTTTGCAGAAGCTTCCAATATCAATTGTGCTGACCCACCTAATCAAATCGTTCCTTCTTCCCATCCCAACATATTAATAAACTTCCTCATGGCGCTGCCTTCCAAATTCGCCTCACAGTCATTTTTCCTGCAGACGCAGCCCCACCCCACCTACCCACCTCGCATTTCCAACCAAACCGGCGAGCACGACCCTTCTCTCCTCGCGAGTTCTCTTGGTGTGGGTTGCTTTCGGATTTCTGATGTGGGGACTTCTGTTAAGAGGTCCATTGCCAAAAAGCGGGCTAGTTTAAACTAGTAAGTGCAGACCCTTTTCGACTTTTCATAGTCACTGCCTTATTTGCCCTTTGGCGAACCCCATTTATTGAACCGAAGTTGGTATTGGAAGAATGAGATTCACTGTTGTTCTGTGATGGTGGTGATCCATTGCTTCTTGGATAAGTGAGTTTCCATCTGGGCTGTTCTTAATTCTTTTGAATGTGTGCTTCAGCTGGATATGTTGCTTCATTTAATCTGTTGCCTGGGTAGTTTTTGTTTTTGTTTTTTGTTTGAGCAGTTGGCTATTGTTCTGAGTTCCAGTTAAAAGTTGCTTTATCAGGAAATTAGTTATTGGGGGTTGTAAAATTTAATATAAAAGTTTTTAGTTTTTACTGGATTTGAAAGCTACATAATCGGGTCAGGAGATCTATTGCTCCTTTTTGCTTCTACTTTTATGGTGTCCTTGACAGATTGAAGGAAGCTCTTTAACAGATATGGGCCTACGGCTATGTAGAAGTTCATAACCTTATGTTCGTCATGTTCTTCAGTACTGAAAGCTCAAATCAAAACACAAAACTATTCATGAACCAAGTCAGGTCTCCTTATATCTTGTAGGGAATTCTCTCTTACTGCAGTGAAGAAATCATGTTCTTGTTCTTCCCTTGCCTGTCCAGTTGACACATCAAAATACATTGGTAGCTAGAGAATCCATCTTGGCACCGGAAAATATTGTTCTGTTACCATTCAATGAACAATCATATAGTCTATATTCATACTTGCTAGACTTCGAGAAGCAAATTTATCTCTGCTTATGATAGAATTTGTAGGTTCGTTCTGATTCATTCTGAGCCAGCTATATTGCCCAACTGGTACTCAGGACACTCATCTATGAATTTTGTAGGCTTGTTCAGTTACGTCCGAGTTAGACATAGGCATTACAGCCACAGGCTATTCTGAGGCATATTTATATATTATGAGCCAACTATATTAACAGCGACTGTTACTCAAGTCAATCATCCCTGTGTATCTTTCAAATGCAGTTCTTTTGAGTAAGTTGAGCTGGTATCCAGGCTGCTGCAACTTCTTCAGATGGGATTTTGAGTTTTCTCGCTTATCCTTTCTTTGGCCTTTCTCCTCCATGTGAATGCTGCCCCAGAGATTATGCCTGCCACAGTAGTGGTTGATGGAACTATCACAGTTGCCGAGACTGATGAAAACTACGTTTGTGCTACAATAGATTGGTGGCCTCACGATAAGTGTGATTACAATCATTGCCCATGGGAATATACTTCTGTTGTAAATTTGGTAGGGCTCTGCAATTCATCCGCTTCCAGCTTAGATGATGTGAAAAATCATAGTAAAAATGACTGCTCTATATATTTTTTTTCTCATTACAGGATGTCACTCATTCTCTTCTTGTCAAAGCTATCGAAGGTTTGCATAATTTTCTGATTGATAAGTAATTTATGTGCTTAAAAGCAACACTGGCTGCACTTCTTGGCTAGAAAACTCATTTGGCAATCTATACGCTGCTCTGTAGCTTTCAGGCCATTGAGGATAAGAATAGGAGGGTCTTTGCAAGACCAAGTTCTATATGATGTTGGGAATCTGGGTTCTCCTTGTCATTCTTTTTTCAAAATGAAAGGTGGGCTGTTTGGGTTTTCAAAGGGATGCCTAAACATGGACCGATGGGATGCACTAAACAACTTGTTCAGCAAGACAGGGTGAGTGTTGTTTGCTTGAATGGACTTCTTTTTATCTTTCGCATGAATTGATAGCATGATAGAGTTTCATGAAGTTGATAATTCTTGGTTGGATAATGACACACCATAATCATCTTCACTTTGTGGCAGAGCCATAATCTCATTCGGCTTAAATGCTCTTCATGGAAGGCACAAGATCAAGAATAAGGTTTGGGGAGGACCTTGGAATTCTACTAATGCTCATGATTTCATCAGTTATACCATCTCAAAGGGATACAAGATAGAAGCATGGGAATTTGGTATGAAACCCTCTGCAAAATGTACTGTCTTTTATCCTTTCTTAATGCATTATCTTTTAACTTACTGTTGGTATTGAATTTGGATTGCAGGTAACGAGTTGAGTGGAACTGGTATAGGTGCAAGTGTTAGTGCTGATACCTATGCAAAAGATGTGGTCAAACTTAATGAAATTGTGGATGCGTTATACAAGAACTCGAACAAGAAACCTTCAATTATGGCACCTGGAGGTTTCTTCGAGCAGGGTTGGTTTGCTAAGCTTCTTAAGATTACGGGCCCTGGAACACTTAACACAGTATCTCATCATATGTACAACTTGGGAGCAGGTGGGTCAACACAAGAATCAAAGAGCTGTTGTGGCTGATTTTGAAAATATAAAGAAGTGAAGTTTCCCTGTGTTTTGGTCTTAGGAGTTTATTATCATCTTTATTTCCAGGTGTTGATCACCACCTCATTGAGCATATACTGGATCCATATTATTTGAGCAAGGTGTCAAAGACATTCAGCAGCCTGTCACAAACCATTCAACAGAATGGTCCCTGGGCTTCAGTATGGGTTGAAAAATCTGGTGGTGCTTTTAACAGCGGTGGGTTTCATGTATCTGATACGTTTGTAAACAGCTTTTGGTAAGTTCACCTGCCATGGCATGAACCTTTTTCTCAAAAGATTGTCCATTTTTGAAACTTCGTTTCTTGTATCCTCAATTTGTCCTTATATTCAGGTACTTGGATCAGCTTGGCATGGCAGCTGCATACAATACGAAAGTCTACTGCAGGCAGACCCTAGTAGGTGGACACTATAGTCTGCTCAACACTACAACATTCGTCCCGAATCCTGATTACTACAGGCAAGGGTGCTGAAAATTCTTCAGTTTCATTGTAAATTCTTTTAAGTTTTGGGAAGGAGGCCTAACCACTCCCTTGTGTTATTGTTTGATGTTTGGTATCTGATAGTGCCCTTCTCTGGCATCGTCTGATGGGGAAAACTGTCCTGGGTGTGACCACTACGGCGTCACCTTATCTACGCTATTATGCTCACTGCTCCAAAGGGAGAGTAAGTGTTCTACTCACTCTAAACTACGGGTTCCTATTTCTCTTGTAAATGCTCTGTATCATTGACACTTATGTTTGGAATTAACATGCAGGCAGGCATTACCTTATTGCTAATCAACATGAGCAACAACACCGACTTCATAGTCAAGGCACGAAGCAGGTCCAACTTGAAGCAGAATCTGCAGCAAACAAGTGATGGTGCCAGTTCATTTGTTAACAGCCTCAAGAGATCGGTTTCGTGGATAGGAAGTGAAGTGACAGACGGGTCATTGTTCCGAGAAGAGTACCATATGAGTCCCAAAGATGGGGACCTTCAAAGCAAAACCATGCTTCTAAATGGTATCCAGTTACAACTCACAGAGAAGGAAGGCATCCCAAATCTCCAACCCATCCGTTCCCGTCTGAGTTCTCCACTATATATAAGCTCATTATCCATTTCATTCATAGTGTTTCCTAATTTTGATTCTCCCGCCTGTGCCTAATTCTCTTCACAATGCTCTATTTGCCTATTTCTTGGTATTACATTATTATTTTAATTTGTTTTCCCCCTTTGGTTAGTAAATTTTGTAGCCCTTGTCAATTGTAAATTTTAGCATGTTAGTGACTGATGCAATAAAGGGTGGAAGGTCGTGTTTGAATAACTTGCAAGACGTGTGTGATGCTTTTTTTACTTTTAATCGAGAAATGTCATGATAGAAACAAAGACCAAAGAAATACGCAACATGTACAAGAGTCACCAGCCCGACTACAACATCAGATAGGTTAAAAAATCAAACGATCAAAAGTCTAATAAAGACAAAGACAGGGCTTTATTTGCCATTCTATGGTAGGAACAACCCTAACCTCTTCTCCAATGGGCAATGACAAGATTGTTAGTGATAGGTGTTTGTTTACAGCTCACAACCCATTTGTAAATAGGTGCCCCATTATGTCATTGGCCCATTTCTTTAGCCCATGCACTACCCCATGCACAAGAGCCTTGTTGTTCTGCTAGGGTTGCTGGGAGTTATATATTTTGCCCTACTGTCCTCCGCCGGATGCTAAGAAAGATAGTGAGATTGTTCTTGGAGAGTACAAAGTCTTACGTGGATTAGTCCTGACATTCCAGGGATACCACATTAAATTCGTTCATGTCAGCAAACATAGTATTAGAGTTTTCATCCACAGTGTCTGACAGGATTTCGATTCGGCTGAATTCGAAGAACTTCGGACTATGGGAGTTCTAGTTTTGTGTCTTTGTTGAAGGGAGAGGGCTTCTATGCATCCTTGATGGTTCTAGACCGCGACCGGTGGCTCCAGCTGTAGAAGAACAGATTAATCGCTAGAATCAAAATGATGCCAAAGTTCAATCTTGGCTACTGGGTTTGGTACATCCAAAGATTTGTTTGGGCCTTCGCTTGCTTCCGACTGCACATGGCATGTGAAAGAAACTCTCAATCACATACTAGACATCTAATATTGCAAGGCAATTTGAGATTCAATTCGCATTGGCCAAGTTAGACCAAGGAGACCGAGATTTTACCACATACTTGATAGAGGCGCAAGAGCTTTGAACCGAAGCTAATTTGTAGATTGCATCTCTTCGGTCCGCTGAAGTCTTTGGCGCTGCGATTGAGGAATGCCAACATGCTCGCATCCTCCGTTTTCCTATGAAGTAAAAGTTGAAGAGAATAGATCAACCATTAAAAAAATTTGCAAGAAGGAAACAAATTTGCAAGCGTAAAGGAGAAATAGAACATTGATGGTGAAGATCCAAGTTTCAGTTTGATTTGATAATTTTTTAATTATAAGTTAGTTCTTTGGTTTAGGTTTAGTTTTTCACTTTCATCCTTACGTGGATGAATCGGTTAGGATATAAGTTTTTAATCAAAACTCTATAATGCATGTTCTTTTTTGTTTGTTTCTAGAATAAAATTATTTGAATTCTTTTATCATATCAAATACAATTTTATATTTGTTTCGACAATTGTTAAATATATCATTGAATAAATATATCCGTCCAACAGGCAGACACTAATCTAGTAAGGTAATAAGTGCAAAGTTTGATAACTGATTTATAACTTAATTTCAAATAACTTATAGTAATTTACCATTAATCAATATATAAATAATAAAAACCTAATCCTCTCACTTTTACCATTAATATACATATAAAAATAATAAAAATCCTAATTCTCTCCCACCAGGCCACCCCACGCTACCTTTTCTGCTGCCGCCTCCATTTTTCACCCTCACCACCATCAATTTCCATTCTTCAATCCCTTTTATTCTTCCCACCACCATCACAACCCAGTGTACCTCCACCACTCCATCCATTTCTCCCTATCTCTTTCCTTCCCTCCCTATAGGGGAATCTTCTCACTCCTGTCCTGAAAAACAACGACCCTTTCCCTCCCTCCCTCACATTGAATGTAACACTCTGGATCTTCCCGGCAAGTTTACACATAATGGAATTGGAATTGGAATTGAACTCGTAATTGGAGAACAGAAGAATTAGAGGAGAAGAGAAGGATAGATTGGGGAAGAAGAACAGGAGGAAGAAGGGAAGCAGTACCAGAGAGGAGGAAGAAGCAGAAGAAGAGGGAAAGAAAGAAGGAACCAAATTTCTTGTTCTGTAATTCGATATCCTAGCAATTACAACAAAATCCCACTTTATAGGACAACACGATTACCTAATGATCCCCAAACTAATTCTTGTTTACAGTTTGATCCTAATCACCACAATCCCTACCCCTTGAGAACCAGCTTGTCCTCAAGCTGAAAACAATAACAGGAAGGAATTAGTGATGACCCATAGGGGAGGAAAGCTGCAAGCTACAACACTACAAAAGCCTATACAAGCACAACAAGAACATAAGCTCACCAACTACCATCACAGCTACATCACAACCCCAAAACACCCAGCCATGTTGAAATTCCACACCAAACAATTCCCAACATTACATCCTGAGTCTCCTTGTATGGTTCTTTGAAGTGGAGACAAGACACCCCCCATACAACTAAGAAGCCAACACCTTGCAGACAAGACGATGAAGCTCTTGAGTTAATCCAACAACAACGAAATCACTCAATATCCTCATTCCTCCTGGGTCAAACAACCTAATAACAGTGTCCAATTCCAAGCAGAGAAGCAGCTTTGTGAGCTTCCAGGTTCTTATTGGCCGCTGCACTTAAATCTTTACCATCTTCAGCCAACACTAAGAGGGATGGTGAAGCCACCATAGTTCCATTATGATCATTTGCAATAGTAAGCGGTGAATCCATGAAAGCAATATCCTTGGCAGCTCTAAGCCATCCAAGGGTTGTAATATTCAATGTCTTCCTCCCATCATCCTTATATGGCCCTTTGAAATTGGGACAATCACCCCTGCCCGTGGATACAATAGCAAACCAGTTGTTGTCACCCACCACAAAACCAAATGAGACATATAACTTGTGAGTTGATCCAACCACAATGAATTACACAGTAACCAAGTTCCACCATGATCAAATAACCTAATAACTTTGTGTAGAGTTCCAATCAAAGAAACATATTTGTATGTTTCCCAATAGTCAGGATCACTACCTCTTCCCTGAAGTGGAACGCTGCCAAAAGAATCCACACACACTACATAATGACCAGGACTAACAGAGACCTAAGAATACCAAGCGAGCTGAAACAAATTGTTGCATTCGAACTCCAAAGCTTCCTTAGCAGGACATGTAACTCCAAGCTTGAAATTGGACACATTGAATATGGTCTCCTGAACAACTACAGCAGGTAGTGAGTGATTCTTCCTAGTAAAAACCGAATCTTGGCCACCCACACAAGAATCCAACCTATTCAGGTTGTTCAAAGAATACAAAGACGCAGAAGAAATTGGCAGAACCAGTGAAGAATTGAAAGCTGTATCAGGGTATAGGCAATCACAATCCTCACCAATATTCACAACATGATAGAAATCATCAAACGCAGCATACACATCAACTTATTCCATTTCTAATTCTGGCTTAGCAAGAGTAGCACTATCATACTCTACAAATTCATCGAGATAAAAAAAAAATGGGCGCATACTGCTTCAGTTAGTTCGCTCCACACTACCACTGGTCGCCTAGAAGACAACAACCAAAACCAGGCACTAAGACCGAGATTGGCCTTTTCCATGGCAACCTTTTCATGGTCAGCCATAGGAGTCCCGCTAAACCAATCCTCACAATACCTAACCCAGGTTCTAGGTCTCGTACCGGAGAAGAAAGGCATAACTGACCCTGGAGGTGGAAACAGTCGAGTACCTTGAATGGCAGGAGACGGCAAGTGAGATAGAGCATTGTCCCGTGCTGGATCCCCGATTGTTGGCAGCAAGCATTCCTTCATCTCGGCATTTTGTCGAACAGGTGGTAGGCCGAAAACCCCCATCGGCTCCCGGTGCTCCAAGGCAGCAAGAAACACTAGTCTTTCATCAAATCTTCCATCCCAGAAACCCAGGCTATTGTCGATCAAACCTAACCTCTCGTCCATCGCCGTGAGAGGGGAATCCGTCAAATGCAAACGCGAATCCATTCCCGGCGCTTGATTTGGTGGCGTTATTAGTGTCGAGAAAGAGTCTGATACCAAGTTGTAATACTCTGGATATTCTTGGCAAGTTTATAGAGAACAGAATTGGAATTGAACTCGTAATTGACGAACATAAGAATTAGAGGAGTAGAGGAGAGAAGAGAAGGACATATTGGGGAAGAAGAATAGGAGGAACAAGGGAAGTAGTACCAGAGAGGAGGACGAATAGGGATGGCAATGGGTCGGGTCGGGGACGGATAGTGCATATCCGTTACCCTACCCAAAGTAGTTCGGGTTTTACCCATACCCATACCCACATGTGAAACGGGTAGAAAATTAAAACCATGTCCATACCCGTTCGGGTTTCGGGTATCCACGGTTATCCATGGATAATAATTTATCTTCATAACTCCAACTAATATGTTAACATTCACACGTATTCTCACATTACGTAAGAGGAAAAAATACGACAATAGTTCACTAGAATGAAGAAAATTAACTAAAACAACATAATTTCATGAAAATATTATATTTATATGCTAAATATAAAATATGTTAGAGAAAAATAATAATTATTTCTAGAGAAAATACACATGCATGCGTATAATCGGGCGGGTACGGGTTGGATAGTTAGAAACCCATGCCCATCCATTACCCGCAATATTCGGGTTCGGGTTTTACCCGTACCCACTAAATGTCCTTCAGGTTCGGGTTTTACCCTACCCGATTAGGCCGGATTCGGGTGATATCCACTGTTACGGATATTTTTCCCAATCCCTAAGGACGAAGCAGAAGAAGAGGGAAAGAAAGAAGGAACCAAATTTCTTGTTTTGTAATTCGATATCCCAGCAATTACAACAAAATCCCACTTTATAGGACATCACAATTACCTAATGATTCCCAAAATAATTCTTGTTTACAGTTTGATCCTAATCACCACATTGAATCATCTCATCTCTGACGCTTGTTGAAGGAAGCAAATTGACGGCGCCGGACTCATGGCCCGGACTCGTTCAACGGGCAAACCCGCCAGGTTTTGACGGTTTTGACCGGGCACGAAAGGGTTTGACCATGTCCGGGCTGATGCCTAAATGTTTGGAACCCGTTTTTGCTTTCGGGTCCGGGCCGATCCGAGTTGACTCGCAGGTCGACCTGCGGGATAACAACCTATAGGTGTCAAATCAAAACCCGACCCAACTAATCCGCCCGATCAACCCGACCGCAACCTGAGTTGACTAAAAGTCAACAACCCGTAACCTGCCAGACCCACAATCTAATTGACCCACAACCCGATTAACCTGAACCCAATTGACCCGCAACCCGATTTAACCCGCAATCCGATTAACCCGAACCCGATTGACCCAAACCCGACTAACCCGTAACCCGACCGACTGAACCCGAACTTCACCTAAACCACTTGAATAATTATTATATTATATAATACATAGTTTTTCAAAATAAATTTTTTCATTCTAAACTTAGGTAAACTTTTTTTTATTTCGTATAGAAAATTTCAAATATATGAAGCTCACTTGATATTATGTATTTTTAGAAAATTACAAAAATTGAAACATGAAGTCACTTGAACACTAAGTTCTTTAACAAAATTGAAAAATCAATAATGAAGAATTAATAATTGAGATCATAAAAAATATTAATATAAAATAAAAATAAAAAATTTGGATTATTTAATTATTCAAGAAAGTTATCAATTAAATATAAATAAAGTATAGTAATGTATTTGGTAATTTGATACTTTTAAAAAAAGAGTGAAATTTTGATGTATTCAAATTTTTGGGAAGAAAAAAAAGAGAGAAATTTGGTTATTTGAAGTTTTGAAAAAAGAAATAAGGGAGAATTTTGTTGTTTTTTATTTGTGGAAAGAGAAAGATGTGAGAAAGTTTGGTTCTTTTGATAAGGAAAGATAAATAAGGAGTGAAATTTTATGTAACTTTTTGTGTAAGACAAGAATAGGGAAATTTGGTTCTTTATTTTTTTCGTTGAATCAGTTGCTTTATTCCAAATACGAACCGATACAACGAAGTGGAATCACAAAGGATCCCATAAGTCTATCACTACAACCTTCTCTATATATGAGACTACTTACAGAACTTCAAACAAAGATTCTATAAGTATCTAAGTCTGGTAAGTGCATCTCGTAAGCTTCTATTTCCACAAGATAAAAACTGTAGATCCGCCCGAAGTTGTTCAACAACTATCCCAGGGTCTCGACTGGGAGTTCCATGGACTACTTTGCATCGTTCTTTCCAAACAAATGCCACTGTAAGACACCACAAAAGAGCATGCTATTTCCCAGTATACGCATTCCTGACTAATTCTGTGTTGAGAGCCTGCACCATTGCATCCCAGTTCTGGAAATGAGGAACCTGAAGCGCAGTTGTGCAGCAAGTCTGAGGGAAAAAGAGCACCTGAGAAATAAATGATCCCAACTCTCAACTTCCAAACCACATAGAGGACAGGATGCATCTCGAAATTTGCCCCATTTCAACAGTTTATCTCTAGTAACAATTGCATTTCTCATTAACAGCCAAGTGATTAGGCTATATCTTGGGGGACAGCAGCTGCTCCAAATAATCTTGTACTAAGAGACAGCTGGTGCCTTTCTTCTTAGAGTGTCACATACTCTGCGAACTGAGTAAACCATCATCTCCTGGGAATCCCAAAAAATAACACCTCCCTGCTGAGATATCCATGGTGAAATGATATCCCGCAGCTTGAGCAGCCTCCTCCATGTCCATGAACTACTGTACTGCACCCTCAAAGACCAAAGATCACCCTGTCCACACTTATATTCATACATCCATGCAACCCACAATGCTCCAACTTTCATCAGAAATAACCAGAGCATACGAATTATGCAGGCCTGGTTCCATGCCATCAAATCTTTAACTCCAAGTCCACCCTCCTTCTTTGTCAATGCCACAAAATCCCAGGCCACCTTAGCTCTCCCAACATCAGTTCCATGCCTAAGGAATTGAGAACATACCTATTGAATCCACTTCAGTGCCTTCTTAGGGAGCACAAAGAGTTGCATCCAATACTGGAAAACTCCTAATAAGACTGAATTAATTAATTGCAATCTCCCAGCATAGGTCAGCTTCTTTGCTCTCCAAGATTTAATCCGTTTTTTGATCTTTTCCACTAAAATGTCCACCTCTTTGGATGATAGCTTGCCTATCATCAATGGCAGCCCCAAATATCTTACCGATAACTCACCCTCTTTAAATCCAGATAGAAGCAGAGCATTATCCTTGTACTTGACAGACTCTCCCCCAAAATAAACTTCACATTTAGCTGGGTTTCTTTTAAGTCCTGATAGCTTATAAAACTGTTGCAGCACCTCTTTTACCTGAAGAATCGCTTGAGCTGAACTAGTGGTGAAAACCATAATATCATCAGCAAAGCACATGTGATTGAGGCCAACTCTTCGACACTGGGGGTGGAAAGGGATATGTCCTGATTGACCTGCAACTACCAACATTGTCGAGAGGCCCTCCATGGCAATAGTAAATAAGTATGGTGATAGAGGATCACCTTGACGAACTCCTTTCCTAGCTCTAAAGAAGCCACAAAGGCCTCCATTGATGCTTATACTGTAATGAGCCGTTTGCAAACAAGCCTTGATCCATTTCATGAACCTCTCAAGGAATCCCATGGCATAAATCATCATAAACATGTAATTCCAACTAATCGAGTCAAAAGCTTTCATGATATCTATTTTTATTGCGCATCTCGAAGATAAAGCAGTCCTGTTATACCCACTAACCAACTCCTGAGCCAGCAATATATTATCCATTATGCTTCTCCCCTTAACAAATGCTGATTGAGTTTTATTGATAATCAGAGGCATAACCTCAGTAATCCTCCTAGCAAGAATTTTAGCCACTATTTTATATAAAAGGTTTACACACTAGATGGGTCTAAAATTCTTCAAAGTGTTAGCATTCAAAACTTTGGGAATCAATGAAACAGTAGTAGCATTCACTCCACTAGGTAGATTACCTGTTTGAAAGAAATAGATAGCCCCTCTGATCACATCATCTCCAATAATTGGCCTTGCCTTCTTGTAGAAACTAGCAGAAAACCCATCCGGCCCTGGTGCTTTCTGGGGATTCAAGTTGAATATCACACTCCTAATCTCCTCTGCTGTGATGTCTCTGACAAGATTCTCACAGTTAGAAGCTGGAATGTGATGACGAACCAATTAAGCTACCTCCGCCTTCCCAGAGTTAATCTCTAGATTTGCCTCCCCCAGTAACTTTTTATAACACTCAATAGCTTCCTCAACAATCTGGTCAGATTGAAAAATTTCCTCTTCTGACTCCTTCACCAGCTTCCTGATAGCCCTTTTGGAGTTGCGGATCCTTACAGCCTGATGAAAGAAATGTGAGCTCTGATCTCCCACTGTTAACCAAGATACCCTAGATTTCTGTCAACAAAAACTTTCATAAGCTAAAGAGACATGATCATAGTGATCTTTTGCAAGTTTAACAGCCTCAAAGTGCTCTGAGGTAGGATCCGAGTAAGCTCTGGTTTGAACCTTCAGTAGTTCGACCTTAGCCTCTTTTACTTTATCCTGCAGGCCACCATAGACTTCTTTATTAAATTTCTTGAGAGCCTGTTTAACTTTGGACAGTTTACCCTGAAGAATTTGCAAGGGTGAACCTAAAACCTCAGTGCCCATGCTTCTGCCACTATATCCGGGAACCGTGGATGGTCCGCCCAAAACTCAAAACAACGGAAAGGATTAGGTAATGACTTCACTGATGCAACTGTACATACTTGTATTCCACAATGATCAGAAAATTGTGAAGGAAGAGCCTTCATAGCACAATCCTTAAAGTTTCCTATCCAATCCAGATTAACCAACCATCTGTCTAACCGCCTGGCAATGGGATGATGAGCCTGCCTGTTAGTCCAAGTGAATTGCAGACCGGTAGTTCTATAATCCACCAACTCCATCTCCCCAATCCAGTGATTAAAAT